CCTTGTGCTGATCATGACGCAGACGGAAGTTGTCGGATTCAGAGATCGAGTGCATAAGCTCTTGAATGCGCCCTGAGAGCTGTGATCGTTCTGTTTCAACCTCTTCAAGCTGGCGAGCTTTTTCCTCGAGGTCCTTGCGTGAACTTGTCATGCGCTCCTCGGCCTGAGTCATGATCTTTCGCTCAATCTCGGCCTCGGCATTCATGCGGGCAGTTTCAGCGTCAGTGAACCTCTCACGGAGCTTGATCAATTCGTTTTGCAGTTCTTTCCTTGTTGTTTCCGCCGCAACTCGCGCCTCCGTAGCGCGACGCAAACTATCTTGCTGGATGTACATCTCTTTCTCAATCGTAATCTTAGAGTCGTTGAGTGTCTCATATTTCTGAGTCAACTGTGCAAGATTGTGTTCGGAAAGCATTTGCACGTCATCTCGTGACTGGCGTTCTCGGCTGAGGTCGGCTTGAGCCTGGAAGAGCTGGCTCTTGAGATCGTTTACCTGTTGCTCTAGCAGCTTCCTGCTCTCTCCAGCCTCGGCGTCCTCGGATCTCTTATTCTCCAGCAGATTCTTGAGGTCTGCGGCTTCTCGTTGAAGTTGAGTCTGTTCGGAGCGCATGGCATCTCGCTCGGCTTGTACCTCACGGAGTCTGGATTGCATGTTGTCGTGGCGTGCCGCAAGCGAAGCCTTTTCGGACTCAACGCTTCTCTTTTCTTCCTCGTGCTTCTGAACGTCATTTCGAAGAACTGTAATCTCACTCTCCTTTCGACGCAGTAGGTCTTCGTAGCCTGTGGAAGTACTCGAGAGTTCGGAAATCTGATCACGAATTGATCTGTTCTCATCGGAGAGATCGCGGATTTGTTTCTTAGATTTGTCGAGTTCCTTGGAAGTGTTTGCGAGTTTGATATCAAGATCTTGGTCGGTCTTCAACAATTTGGCTTCCAGGTCTTGAAGCTTACGATCTTTCAAGCTCAGGTGGCTTTGGAGCATCTTGATCTCCTGGCCTAGTTCTTGAATTTGGCCGTCTTTTTGAGAGAACTGCATCTCCGTTTCAGAAAGCTTGCTGTCAAGCTCCTTGACCCGAGATTGCAGACTGTTCTTTTCTGACTCGAGTTGCTGAATGATCAGACCAGCCTGTTCCAGTTGGGTAATCCGAAGTTGCAGCTGGTCGTCGATTTTTCTCTTTGTATCGATCAATTCATCCAGTTGCTCTTCAAGGGCTTCCTGGTCGGCGATTGCACCAGCAAGCTTCTCCGCAAGCTCCACTTCTCGGCCTTGCAGTCGCTTGAAGATCTCCTCCTTGTCCAATGCAAGTGCGCGCTCACTTTCCAAAGTATGCTGTATCTTCTGAATCTCGATCTCAGTCCGACGTCTTTCCTCGTCCAGCTTGTTCCGATCCGCAAGATCCTGTTTCATCTTGGCTTCCAGTTGTTGGATTTTGTCGTCACGCTTTTTGACTTCCTTTGCATTCCTTGTGTCACCCAGCAGGGGCTTCATTCTGGAGAACATCCGCCACCATGGGTTCCCCTTCAAGTCCAAGTAAGCGTGGAAGTTCTGTTGTATAATTCTGGTTGCCTCCGCGCGGTAGAGTCGCTTGTTGGAAATACGGCGCTGAACAAATCCCCGTGCCACAGACTGGAACTTGGACATGATAGTTCGGATGAGCTGGTCACGTTTCTCTTCTAGATCGGCCAGAACACCTGCTCTGAAGAAAACTTTCGTCCGACCAACGCGGTACCAGCCCCGATCCATGCCGAGCTTCTCCAGCATAGTGCGAGCAACACTCTGTCCCTCCAAGTACCCCTTCGGCATGTTCTGGCAAAGGACCTCATAGCGCTGTCGGAACTCCGTGAACGGCAAGCGATTCGGGAATCCGGTTCGAGCGATTCTGATGCCCTCCAGGACACCGTTACATCGCAACTGATCTAAAACCAATGGAGCGTGCAGCATCTTTGGCCGCTTCTTGTGATTAGGCAGGATACACCGGACGAAATGAGGATGCGTCGAGTGGAGCTGAGCCATCAAACTGGATAGTTGTTCCTTGTGTCTTTGGGCCACTGTACGGAACAAGCCCTTCTTGACACGGCTTCTGGGGTGGTTGCCAGCACCATCCTCCTCTGAGTCTGCACAGTCGGAGAACAGATTTGCTACGTGCGGTGAGTTCGAGGCTGCCAACAGGCGTGTAATGTTGTCGTTTAGCGGATCCTTGTTCTTCTCAAGCCAATCACTAGTGTTGTACTCAACTTCTGCGGCGTAATGGGTGAGAATGAAGCCCTGGTTGAGACGAGAAGCATGATAATTTGGAGTTTTGCGGTCCCAGAGGCCATGGAGCTTTTCCGTGAATGATTTGTCTGTGGCCTTGGGCATCACACAATCCTCATCAAGACAAGAAAAAATGCCGATGGGGTTGGTCAACTCGATGAGGTCAATTGTTGGTTGCAGGTCCTTCCCGAAGTCGATGAATTGCCACTCAATCTGTTCCCTCGCATATTCTTCTTGCTCAAGAACAAACATATGGTGGTTGAAAAATTGTTGAAGCTTTTCGTTTGTGTAGTTGATGCAGAGTTGCTCGAAGCTGTTGTTGTCAAAAATCTCAAATCCAGCAATATCAAGGACCCCAATGAAATAGTTGTCGTCGCTGGCCATCGAGCGACCAAGTTGGCCATTGATTCTAGCGACAAGGTTTCCAAATCCGCGCTCATAGATACCCTTTGAGAGTGCATCTAGGGCCATGCGGACTTGCTCTGGTGTCTGGACCTTCTCCACCCATTCCCGGCCGGCCTTAACGCGTGGATGCAGAAGACCCTTGACAAAGGCTTCGGGCTCAATACCAAGAAGATGACAAGCCTTTTCCATGCTAGAATATCCCTCAGGCGCCAGAGTTGCCTGGTCTGCGCGCACACTCGCTTTTGCGACACCCACATTTCCTAGGTGCAGAACAGCAGCGATGGTCCGTAGAATACACAGCTGATCCTCCTCGTCGAAGTCCATCACATGGAAAGCTTCAATCAGCGATTTCCATTCATCCTGGTCAGAGACGCCAACGATGGAATCATTTCCATCTCTCGTATAGGCGAAATCCTCGATCTGAAGGTCCGCTAGAAGAAGCTTCTCGCGTGTACTGCGGTCTGCCCCCTGGAGAAGCTGGTAGAAAACGTGGTAATTTCTCTCGTTGGGGTTAGGCTTGACGACTCTCGATTTCTCGAGCAAATACCAATCGATCCAAGCTCCAGAAATTTGGCCTGCGCGCGAGAACTCAATGCGAATAAATTTTCCGAATCGTGAGGAGTTGTGATTTCGGACCGTTTGGGCGTTACCAAAGGCTTCGAGAATAGGGTTGGCTCTTAGAATCTGCTGCGAAAGACCTGTGAGTTGCTTCGCTCCGGACCGGCCGTAGGGCGTATCAGAAGTAGCCACAGCAGCGAGGTACTGGATAACCTTCTTCGTGTTCTCTGTTTTACCCGCGCCAGACTCTCCCGTTACAAGGATGCTTTGGTTCTTGCCCTCCTCGACAAGATTCCGGAAGGCCTCATCCGCCATGGCAAAAATATGAGGTCTGGTCTCCTCTCTCCCGCGCCCCTTGTACATTTTGATGTACTCGTTGGTGTAGATTGGCAGGGGACAGTACGGGTTGATTGTTACCAGGAAAAGTCCAGAATAAGTCTATACAGCCAGCAAGTCAGTTACAACCATGAATTTGTGCATTTTTCCCGGTGTGACGAACATAGATTAGGTCTGACTGATATCTGGTGTGCAGGTTATGCACCACAGACGCCTCGTTCAGATGTGTCAGCTCTGCCATATCATCTGCCTTGTCAAACTTGGCAGGGTTGACTTTGTCGACCTGATCCGCATCCAGTTCTCGTTGCTATTCCAGTGTCAGCGCATTTCATCTACTCGATAGGGTAATATCCATACGTCGCCATCGTCGGTCTGCACCAACAGCCGCCCTGCTTCAAATTCCTCCAGAACCAGCCCTCGCACAAAAGCCTTTTGAGGGTCTTTTAACCACACGTATTTGTTCCCTGAAAAATCATTTTCTCCTTCGAGACCACGAATCTGATCTGCTCCCCGACGTAGTTCCTCAGATTTGATAAAACTTGGCGCAAATGTTCCGGAGGAAGGACTGTTCTTTGCAGAGTTTGATCGCTCGCGATTGCCGCTTAGTGATAATGTTGGCGACAACTGTGACACAGATGTGTTGCGCAGATGACCTCTCGCTGACTCCAGTCCATGGGATTGTGTAATGATGGCCGATTTGGGCCTCGCTTGTGGTGAATATGTTCCTTGTGAAGACGACGGGCGTCCAAACAGACTGGCGCGCTTTGGCGAGCCGTTCAACTGGGAGGGAAGCATGATGATCGTATCTCAATGGGACATTATTTGAGCGCAGCAGTCGTTATCATAGCCAGGACTATTAATCTCGGTTGTAAGTGTAGTGGAGGTGAGTGTGATAGGACACAAAAAACCGAAGAGATCAAGTGGAAAAATACAATGAAGACAAGTGTGAGGCTGCCGAAAAGTTGGAAGAAGAGACAAGATGTTCTAAGTGACGCACCCCAATATCCATGATGTTTGTTTACTCTGCGTTCCTCGGGCGCCCGCCGATCGCATGTGGCCCGTGCGTATATCACGTGAGATACTCGATCATTTTTGTCAAAGAAGGCGCTTAGACCTTAGAGACGACCGCGTACCTCAATTCTTCTCGAGTTCAACACCTTTATCCATCTCTTTATCGTTCTATAAGCTGGATCCACAGTCGCATGACCCTTACACGTTTCTAGATCGCCATCAGATCATTATCACTCCTCAAAGTGACTCCTAAATTGAAGTTCTGCGTATCCTTTTTATCCTTTTCCGGAAGACATACCGGTACCTCTCCACCTGCTTGACCTTGAAGACATCATGAGATTTGGTCTTTGAAATCGTGACCTCTCTTCAACTCCAGCCTGTCGCTCTTGAGAAACGTAGAGAATACATCTCTTTTATCCCTGCGCACAACATAAGCATGTCTGACCAACCTCCCTCATACGGTGGCCATCCGAACTATGCACAGCAATGGCCTCCTGCATACCCCTCGATCCAGAACTTTCCGGTCAATTCAGATTACTCTCAAATGCATCAGCCACCAGCGACAAATCCTGGGCCAACCTTCGACTATAACATGACAAGCCTCAACGCGAATTCACGAATCTCAGGTTCAAATGGCCCTGGAAACTCAGCATTCATTCCGCCTCAGTTTCCCTTCTTCAACCACTTTGACGTGTCACAATTCCCACCTCCTTTCCCTCCAATGCCGTTTGCTCCGATGAGCTATCCCCCCATGCCAACAGGGTCCTCAAATCCCCCCATACCGTATCAGGGTATAGAAGGACATGTCTCACACCAATCAACACCAGCCGCACATATGACAAACGTCCCAGCTCCGGCAGATAATCACCGCGAAGAAGGCGAGGTTAGTGAGGAGTCGGATGAAAGGTCACTACAGCCGACGACACGTAAGGCTACGCGCCAGTATTTGGATCTGGAAGAAGGAGAAACAATATCTTCTAGCGCACAGTCCGCTAGGAGTAGTGGATCACGTATTACTCCCATGCTTCCCCAGTTTTAATTTTGTTTTACTAATAACATGCAGCATACAACCCTCCTTTGTCAGTCTCAGCAGACGCAAGCATGGTCCACCATGCGATGCAGTCTCAGCGGCAGGATCCACCTACAACTGTTCCCGCCCCTCCACCTCAGAAATCAGCGGCGCAGTTACGGATTCAAGCCCAAGGCGCTTTGCTTAGCTTGGCGCCCCATAATATCCGCTACAATGAACTGGTCGCGGAGGGCATCAACCCCATGATTTTGAAACGCCTTTACGAAGAAGTCGGGATCAAGGTCACCACGTCATCTGAGGAGGCGCCAACAGTTTCTGAAAAGACCTCCACCGCGGCTCCAGTTGCTAGCAAGGGACTTGGATTTAGCAACCCAGCTGAGTTGACCAAGATAGCAGAGAATCACAGCAGCACGAGGTCAGATTTGCCAGTACCCCAACCTTCTGCCCCATCCGCCGCCCCTTCTTCCAAATCTGGCAAACCTCTGGAACGGAAGGAACTTATCGCCCGGATGCTGGCTGAGAAAGCTGCGAAGGCGACATCCAAAGAGACTTCACCAACTGGCAGTGCAAAATCCCACCCTGCGATACCAGTTGATGAAACCCGTCCAGTTCAAAAGGAAGCCCTCATAAAGGAGAAGAGCAAAGCCCAGACCGACTTGGCAAGAAAACGAATTGAAGAGCTCAAAAGACAAACTTTGCTGAAGACCCAGAAATTAAGTCAGGCAAATCTGCCACCGATCCAGTTGGAATCTCCAGCACCAGCTATTCAACACCCGCTTCCTCTTCGACCTCCTGTGCCTGAATCGCGTCGCTCCGCTGGGCTTCCAGGACTTCTAATGACTGGATTGGAGCAGGATTCACATGAAGCTATTGCCTCTGAGCCAGTACAGGTGATGGACCTTGACTCAACATCGATATCTCGAGCAACCCAACGCAAGCGGCCTCGGGCTTCCGATTTCGATGAGCCAGTTGCACCTCCGAAGAAGCATTTTAACCCGGCTGCTACTCGATTCGACCCTACCGATAAACTCATCATTGCAATCAGCGACGATGAATCACTATACGGCGATGATGAGGATGACGACATGGAGTTGGATTCGAGCCCAGAACAGGAACCAGTGCCGATAGTGACCTCGACCATCGTGAAGCCTCCTATCCAATCCAATCCCCCTGCCACCCGAGCTTCGACAGCTACACCACAAGGCCCTTCTAGTCTCAGTGACCAAGGAGACATTCGACTTAAGGATATGGAAATTCAAGCTATGCGCCGCAAGATTGCGGAGCTAGAACTACGAAGGAAATCGAAGCTTGCTGCCAGCCGAACCCAGTCACCTCGCACCCTGGATGATTCTGGGGCATCGTCATCCGGTGGACAATCCAGTGTGGTTGCAGCTACTTCTGAAGAAGGTAATTTTTCTTTCTATCTTCTGTCTCTTTCTCGCTATCTCTTTCTCTCTCTCTTTGTCTCTTGCTGGGACATGATCATTCTTGGGTATTTCCGAGAGAAATTTTGCGCCTCAACTAACCATTACCCAGATTCTTCAAAGACTAAACCGACGACGATCACCCCTGACACTCTCATGCCGGTTGCCCCTGTTGTCCAACTAGACGCACCAGCCGAAGGCGCTGCCACCCAAGCATCCGTTGAAGAAGCCTATGCTGAGGAAGTGGCAAATGGTGTGATCGATAGCACTGCACAGGCATCGGCTTCATTTGAGTCCGACTCTGCTGGGTCTGCTATGCAAGAATCTGATGACAGCAGCAGTGATAGTTCTGATTCGTCCAGCGAGAGTGAGGATGAACCTGCTACCTCGCCAGCTCAGGCCGATCTCCACTCTGCTACAGTGCCCTCATTCTCAGGGCCTATGGAGATTGACTCTTCAGAGCGATCTGCGTCTCGGAGCTCGCCCTCTGCCATCACTCATCCTAGTGCAACCTCTGCCGACGAATACGTTTCTCAACATCACCTTAGCGAACATTCTCAGCGTGAAGAGTCTGCGGAGTCCGACGGATATGAGCCCCCAGAGCCTGATGCTGAAGCACAGTCTGAAGGCTCGAGTTACAGCCCTCCTCCATTCAGCCCAGCTCTTTCCGGTCTCGTAGAAAACACAGCAGTCTCGGCACCATCATTTGACTTGACTCAAGCTGATGAAGAACTAACCAGCACACCTCAGGTGCCAGCCCCATTACCTCGGTCAGATTTACAGGTTGGCGCTCCTGGCGTATGAACACTACCCTTCTCAGAGGAATTCTCTAATGACCCCATACTAACCCCTATCTAGACTGAAGCATTGCCCGCGACTTCCGAGCAAAGATTCACGCCGTACACCAGCCCACTGCGAACTTTCAAGGCTTATCGCTACCACCCGCATTATGCCGACGACGTTCCGAGTGGCTACCGCTCGCTAACTTACAGTCATAATATTGATTCCATGAAATACATGTGTCCATATGAGTTAGCCGGGGGTGTCTGCAATGACAGATCCTGCGAGTTTCAGCATCTTCGAGACATGACTCTAAGCGGTGCGTCGACATGAACAACGTGCAACACCCCACCTCGTCCTCGAGCTCCCCAACCGGCGTATTGCACTATCTAGTCTGTTTTTACTTTCTGTTTATTGCTCTACTGCCTTCGTCTCTGCCTCCTCTTCCTTTCCTTCCAACTCATTTGCCATCTCTTTTTTACCCTGTTCGAATGCTGACCACAGAGCCGTTAACCTCGACAGACGACAAGATTCTCGTCCAGATGGGCTCTGTCCGAGAAGGTCAAACCGAAGAAGAAAAAGAAACATATCTCGCTGGTCTGAAAGAGATCATCAACGACTTACGGCGTGACAAGGTGAAAGATTTCAACACTGTGGCCTCCGAGATAGCCGCATACCGTAGGCGCTTCCTCCAAGACCCGTCGCGTGTCTTGTCCCTGTAACATTCTCCCACCCTCATTCACTGGACCCCTCAAGAGTCCTCTCCAGGTGAGCTGTCTTCCATCAGTCTTGTGAACGCCGCCATCAAAAGAACTTTGATGGCGGGGGAAAAACATCATCACACCACATGGACTCAGACAATCCTCGCTATGGCCATGCCGCCATCCATCTTTGAATTCAATATCCCATGCCACCATCTCTTTTCAAGGCTCGCGCGTTCATGACCTGCCTTTCCTCTGCATCATTAGCCGATTCGGCGTTTTCTTCCCTGCGCTCCAAATGCATTTGATCTACGCGATTGGGGGCCTCGTGCTCTTTGGGCCACCTTTCCCCCCCCTTTTTTTGTTGAATCTAGGCTCTAGGCCTTTCATTGCCCAGTGACCTGACAAAACGGTGTTGGGGCGTCTGCGTCTCAGCTGCTGGTCGTAACTTTGGCAGTTTCGGCAGTTTCAGCTGTTTCAGCCCTGAGGGAGCTCTGGCTACTGCTAATCTGCACACTGAAAGGTGCGGTTGTACCATTAGAATCTCGGCGGGTTTTCACAGAACATATTCATAGCAATCAGTCGATATGTATTTTGTTTTTTCTCTTTCCAACTATTAGTATTTTTCCATCTTCAGTAATGAAATAAGCACCAATGACCTTGCAAGTGGCTTGGATTATGCATGAGTTCTAAGTCAATCTATCGGACCTCCGAAATAAACCATATTCATCTGAAAAACACGCTAAAAATGATTGACTCATTCATGTGTAGCAAAAAAGAACCAGAAAATAAAATAACCGTCTTGATAAAGTCGTCTCTGCAAAGAGCTTAGCCAGACCCACATCACCCTCAACATACTAGATACATAGTTTCAGCCGTGCACCATCTGAGCTGAGATATGGAGCAAGAAAACATGTCAAATCTAAACACCAAGTCTAGACCCAGAACAGGGAAAAGACCAATTCCCTTACAAAGTTAGAACATGAAAAAAGATGTGGGTTCCTACGGCTGGTGGATGCTAAGTATAGCGTGCAGAATCCGGTCAGGGAGATGGGGGCCAGGGTTGGTGTGACTGTTTCAAGAAGATTCAGATATTCAAAAATAATAATAGTGAAGTAATAGCGTGTATACGGTGAGTTGATCTTTATTAATAATATCTCTTTTAATCAAAGCATGCAATGCGCCCATGACGTCTTTCCTATTGCAGAAACATTCTATACGAGTTGAGTCAGGACGAGGCAGACCAGCGGACCGGATGTCTTGGATTCAACAGATTCTTGCTGATTGGCCCGGGGCTTTCTCAATTTCGGTTATATCTCTTTTCTTATAGTGATATTATGTATGGAGTACATCATAGGTCCGTATAGCCATATAGCCATGCCAGAGATAGATCCCGCGCCCAGCGCCCGAAAATGAAGTTAGCGACCGGGCAAACATTAAAAGCGCAAGAAAACGGCCAAGGAATATTCTAGTAGGCGGGATGAATTGTGGATATGGTGATAATTTGCTACGGTCTCAGAATGATGGGACGACAAGCGCGCACGTACAACATAAAAAGTCGAGTGGGAAAAGCCAAGCAAACCCGGTCCGGGGCGCACAGTCCAGCACAGCCCCAACTGGAAGTGGGGGCTACGATAATGACATAGTTGGGAGACGGGAGACAGGATATGGGGATATGGGGAAGTGGGAATAACATCATAGAACATGCCATAGGGGGCTGAGTCTGTGTCAGAGTAAGAAAATAAGCCGTAAATAGGTGTGCAGATGAAGACTAAAGGGTAAGAAAGGTAAAAAAAGGTAAATAAGGTAAATAAGATCAAAGAAGCGGAGCACAAGGATTAATAGACATCATCCGTGTTAGCTTCCGAGGACCAAGACCGCTTCTTTTACTATGGGCCATAGGGCTGTTTGCTGCAGATGTCAGGGCAAAGGAGCGGTAACAAGAACAGGAGAAGCAGACTGGTTCGTAGTGGCTTGCATACAGACTACATCACTCAGCATAGCGGGGTCCATTTTTGACTGAGCCGCAAATTATTCCAACCAACCATGATTAACAATAATACTTGAGGCCGTGCCCGTGAGGCTCAGAGCAGGGGGTTTGCTGCAAGCCTCGAAGATCTTGATGACTCTACTGCTTGGCGCATAAACGAGGAAGAGTTGTAGAAATAAACATAATATTTGATTCCATAAGTAATAAAAAATAGAAAAAAAGAAGAAACATATCAGATCAAAATCAAAATCAAAATCAAAATCAAAACCCAAGGCAGACAGACCCGGGGAATCCAGCCCCACTGGCCTTAAGCTAAACCAAATAAGGAAACCCGCAAGTATACAAAATTCTAGTCTAACAACAAAATGAAAAGCATTACACCATATATGCTCATGACCCATGACCCGCTTTGCATAACAAAAAAACATTCCAGAGATAAGGGGAAGAAAACTAAAAAAAAGAAATAGTAAAGTTCGGAATCACTATGCCGAGTCAGCTTCAAGAACCAAATGCTGAGTGAGCATCGGAGTCACTTACCATTGTATTCGTAGTACCCTGTCTCGGCCCGCGAGATGGTGTTTCAAAAAGTCTCACTTGATCTCCTCGCAATTGCCGCAGGCCGCGTGGTTGCAGACCACGCACTTGGGTTGGACGTTGAAGACCTTAGGCCCGTCTCCACATTCGCAACAGATATACATGTAGGTTGGAGCGTGTTGCCTCGTTCCAGGCAGTGAGGCCGATGAGATACCTGTGCAGTCGGCCCGTGGTAGAGGCCGTAAACCGGGAAGCTCTGGTACGACAATGGACATGGCTGTGGTCTTCAAGGTTGGTGTGGGAGGTGAGTGCATAGAGACGGCAGTTGGATATGCGGAGATCGGGTTGCTGTTGTGGGAGTGCGAGTGCGAGTGGGAGTGGCCGCTCATATTGTCAGAGAGCTTCTCGTTGACGCAGCGAGCGCAACGATGGGTTCCGCACTGGATGCAGGCGTCGTAGAGGGAGGAGTTGTGAGGGCCGAAGTTGCAGTTGCAGCAGTACCACAGAGACGCCATTGCTATGATGGGTTGGATAGATTGGATTGATATTATAGACAGGATAGTATGTTTGGTGAAAAGCAGGGAGTCGAGGTTCTTTATAGTTGTAGAGCGGGAAGGTCTTGTTGGACTGATACTTGAAGATGTTGATTGAGTTTGAGAATGGAATTGAATTTTAAGTATGGGATCTACGAAAGCTATATAACACCTGAAGAAACTTGAATACATGTAATAGAACCAGAAGCGCAAGGCAGCGTTCCTAGAACAGTCAACAGCCCAGGCTGCCTTGCGAGATCCACATCGTAATTGGCCAAATTGCCAAATTCATTACCCGGGCACTTATTCGGGCAATGGGTAAAAGTTGGCCTTAGTCGCAAATCATCCGGCAAGATGGTTTGCCCAGGGGAGTGGCTTAGTGTAATCCGGGGCTCTGTCATTGCCCAGATTACCATAGTTGCGCCTAGAATGTGAGAATGAATCATTTCTGAAGACCAGGCGTTTTGAGTCAACAACGGGTCCACTATTCTCCAGGGCTAAGCAAATGCTCACACCGTCTCGAGTGGCCTGGCTTACCCGAGAGAATGTATGTGCACCAACGGGTTCTGGTCACTCGGATGCCCCGAAATAACGGTCTAAATTCTACATCTTGAATTTTCTTCGAGGTTGATGCCTTGGTAAACGAACTCGCTCAATTGGTTTCCAAGGCGTGCGATATACTCCACTTTTCCCAGGTTTCCAGGCACCGGCTGCTTCGAAAAGCAAAATGAGGAGTCATCGATCAAGTCAAGAGTCAGGTGTTTACGGGCTCCGCGCCCTGGCCAGTGTTGCCTAAGTCACCCAGGCTTTGGTTTCTCAACACCTGAATATGATGAAAAAAAATAAAATTCCGTTTCGTCATTGTTGTTTTGGACATTTTTGGTGTTTTTTTTCGCAAATAACAGATTACGAGATATTGTGGAACCCGAAGGCTGATTTCTAATTTAAATTCTCACCCGTAAACCCGCGGATATTCCATGCCATGTGTCTTTCCAGATACTATATCGAGTTCTATCGAGTACAACCGTAACACCGTCAAGATCTAAAAAGAGGTTAGCATGAGGTGATCTGACATTGTTAGGCCTTATCTGACGGTCCCAGCTGAGATGTATGGAATGAGTAATAGTAGACCCGGAATTTGCGAAATTCGTGTCAACATGGTAGCTGAGGTTGTTGGGCTAGGGCAATGGGGTGTTTCAAGGTTCTACCGATGCCCCGATCCATGGGACCCCAAACGGGGACGAACCCAGGCACATGGGCACCGGGGCTGGGCACCTGGGCAGGGAACCCCGATTACGTCAGGTTTGCACTGTTTGATTCAACGACCTTCCCTAGACTCGATCCGTCCTTGCAGTCCCCCGAGGAAATTCATTAAAATCCATGCATTTCATATTGTTGTATTGACTCCATATATATGGCGTCTCCCGCGCAGAAGCGCGCCAACGTCGTAGTATCCAGGCTCATCCCGCCTGTGTTACTCGGCGCTGTGACATACGCTTCCTATGCGGTCACGAAACCATTATGCAGTGAGTTTTTTACGAATTTGATCACGGGCTTCTTTACCCAGAAACTAACAATATGAAACCAAGTCGACTATCTAATTCATCCGTTACCCTCCTATAACCGAGGCCCCCGAGTCGGCGCTGGCGCCGCGATCATCGCGATCTATTACGTCCTTTTAATCCCCATGGTCGTTTCATACCTGCATCTTTATTATCAAGTCCTGTGGAATCCTGGATTCCTTCCCCTCGGCGAACAAAAAGTGGCAGATGACGAGAATGCAAAGCAATCAAAACGCCGTCGTGGAAACAAAAGCACGCTCAAACCCGATCCGGAGAAGACAACCCGGACAGACGCGGATGTGGAGAGAGGCTCGAACTTCACTGCGGTAGACACCGCGGTTCAGTCGGATCTTGGGTTGGAGAGCTTTTATACAAAGGATGTCTTCATCTGCCAGGCGGACGGCCGGCCCCTGTGGTGCACTACGTGCTGTCAGTACAAGACAGACAGGGCGCACCACTGCCGCGAGTTGGGTCGATGTGTGCGCAAAATGGACCATTTTTGTCCTTGGTATGATAATAACAAGTTACCGCAAAGCTAGTACCCAGCTGACAGAATGCAGGGTTGGAGGTGTGGTGTCAGAGACATCGTTCAAATTCTTCATTCAATTCGTTGCTTATACCAGCATATTCTGTACCTTTGCTCTCATAGTGTGTGCTTATTTTACAGCGGAGATTCGACGCCAGGTCAGACTTCCACGAGCCAGCCACCATACAAATCTACAAGAGCCTGTTACTGACATTATAACTAGACCGGAGGAGTAAACCCCCATTGGTGTGTCTGCATTGGACTGTAAGTGCCCATCCTCAGGAACTACGAATTTTACCAAGTCTGATCAAACCCACCAGGAGCGGCCTTTTTGCCTTTTTCACCGCCGGAATGACCCTCAGCTCAGTTCAAATGAGCATCTTCAACATCACAACAATCGAAAACCTAAACCGACGCACCGCCGTCTGGACCCTCGCCATCCGTGTCCCGGAACACCTCCTCGAGCGACTCTGGGTAGTCGAGTCGCCCTGGGCTCCGACATTCCGCATGGTCTCCTACCCACTGCAAGCACCGTCGTCTGCAACGGAATCGCAAACAACAAACCCCTCCCCGGGCGAACAAAGGCACGTCTTCGCCATCCTCCACACTCTGCCGGGCGAGAATCCCTTCGACCTTGGCAGCCCATTAAAAAATATCCAGCAGGTCATGGGATACAATGTCTTCGATTGGCTGCTGCCGATCAAGAAGAGCCCGTGTGCCGACCATAGCAGCATGGAGAGTCATTTTGCCCTGGGACCCGTCGTGACCCGCTTGCGGCTGGAGGCTGGACTGGCCCCGCCGCCCGAGAACGGGGCTGCTGTTCCACAGTCCCCACATTCGGGGCGTAACCACCGGGAAAAATCCCCCTAGGGATCAATAATTCGGGGCGCTTGGTGTGTTTCGTGCATGTTTTGGATACCTTTATAATTAATGCAATTGTCTCCACCATATACGCTATTGACCTGGCCTGGCTGTGTTAGGCGGGTTTATATTTTCGGTAAGCTAAAGGGCCCCGCTGGGCAACCATAGGGCTGAATGTCGTCGCTATTACGCACAGGCCTCCCGAGGTCGGAACATGACCTCTTGATATTAGAAATTTGAGCCATTGGAGGGCAGATAGACCAGGTAAAGAAAGAGTTTCGGCGAAGATATGTTCTCCCAGTTCAATTCACACATTCAGCGTGTTCAACTCGAAGATTTTTTGCTCAATATTCCTCCACCTCGCATATTCCTACGTTGTTTCTAATCCAATAGTATCAGACAGAAGCAGTGGAATGCAATAGCATATGACATAAAGTTTTAAAGTTAATACCAACGGATTCCTTCACCACCAAGTACTTGACTTTAGCAATCTATTTTCCAGTAGGCAACTTCGCAAACGTCCTCAAATCTGACCTCCGCGTCTTTCAGCCTCCCACGTAAGTAGGCCTACCAGTAGGACAGTTTAGAGGAGACAATTCCTCGTGGACATTCATAATTGGTGTAGTCGCCATCTGTTTCGGCCTTCCATGGTTTATCTCTACTAGAATCGATTCTTCTATTCCTTCAACAACGTCCAACCAGGTTCCAAGAGAAATCAATCCTTCAATTGATCATATAGCGCCCTCTAAAATAGAACAACTACTATCTTGGAATGGAAGAGCGCCTAAGAAGTCTACGGGTGTGATATGACACCCTTTACTTGTGTGGTGGTGGTATATATATCTTAGAGCATCCCTTCATTGCAAACAAATAACAATTTATCTATACCCTTCACATGACTCCTTCGTACTTGTGACTTTTGTTCTGGCAGGCGTATCGTTCGCATCATCGGGACTGTGTCCGAACGTTGATCCAGGCCATCGTCTATAGTATAACGCCCAAGACCTGAAGATGTGCCCATGCCCGATGACAACAAACAAAAGAATAATCAATCAAAAAGAAATAAAAGACACCAAAACCAAAACGCAAGGAAAAAGAGGAAAGAAAGGAGAACTGAAGCATCACAATGAGCCCCCGCGTAATCCGTCCCAATCTAGGGAACATTCTCACTGCCACAGGATCTGCACGCACAATGCGCGCAGATCGGACATTTCCCCTCCGGCGCTAGATTAGGATTGACCAAATTGCCGCATCCACAGCACCTCACCCATATCGGGACCAGCCTTGGAGCGCCGGTAGATAGGTAGTCGGATCTGGGTGTGAGCGCGGATATGGCATCCAGGAACGGAGCCAGAGTTGATTGCACAATCAGCGGGCCGCTTATGGCATCGACATAAGAGGAATCGTTAGGCTGGGGCAGGCGCCAGCCGTGTGGAAGAGGGGTTGAATTGTGTCCTTCGCTGTCGGTCTCAGCATTCGAGAACTTGTTGGACATAGCGTTGGACATGACGTTGGACATGGTGTAGGCAGACATGGTGACTTGAAGTATCAAATGGCTAAGCCGATTGGTAGGGAGGATAGTTTGATCTGCGAGGCCTTGAATCCTTTGAATAAGTTGACTGAAGGATTGGGAATGTAGATAGAGTTATATAAAGCCAAGAGGAGGTCTGATTGTACGAAGCAGTGTGAGAAAAGCCAAAGATAGCCATAGACGGCCTTCATTATATTGAAACATCGATACACAGGCGCCCATAATCAGGGCTCCCATTGCAGTATCGAAAGCCCAAGTATAGAAGCCCGGTCGAAACCCAAGGTGAACAGGTGCGACTCGAACAGCCAAAGAGCAACGGCAACAGAGTCGAAACCCTAAACATAGGGAGCAGGATACCCAGCGGGCAAATGGACACAGCGAACAGAAGCCGGCAGTGCTTAAGCAGCGGTGAAGTTAACGCGAAATCGACCAGCCAGAGCAAGAGAAACAACATGGCAGCACCCGTCTATTCGATGCCGACATATTCACCCGCGACCCAGGTCGTGATCGGCCATACTGCGCCTAGCAACCCGCGACCTGGGCACTGGAACATGTTAATTTGCCGCGGGACCGGGGATATCAGATATCCAGAAGCTATAGGTATTAGTGCTGGAATTAGTGAGTGAGTACAACCCATCTCCTGGAGGGGCAATAGGCGCGTTGCTCGCCTTACACATGAGGCGAGCCATCTATATTGAAGCTAAGGCTTCATCACTGGGTGACCGGGTGGTGTCATCTCCGGTACTAGAATAGCTGGGTTATTGGGCGTTTCGTTGCAGTAGCCCAGGCTTTTGTTTCGTGCGGATTTCTTGTGTAGATTCTGCGCCTCGGTCCAGGCGTCTGGCTCCAAGATTTTCCCGCGGGTGCGAGGGTGAATCGGAATAAGGGGTTCGTCCTGCTCAGTGGATCTTGTTTCTTTCATTGTTGTGGATGACATATGCCAAGACAGTATTCATGTCGTGTCCGCTGTGCCTGGGAATTAATGTACCTGTGGGTGGTACGGGTTGTGTATAACCTTGGTGCGGGCAAGGTGGTGGTCAGGGGCAAGATGGGATTTGTACTTCGTAGGTGGAAAATCCATGAGATCATCTTTTTGCTGGCTATGAACTATCAAAGTACCTAAGTACCACCCTGTGCTCTTATTAAGCCTAGACCTGCGGTTTACATCGGGTTCAACCGATTGGAGCTCTGTCAAGGCAGTCTAATTGGATAGCACAAACTTAAATTCGTTAATAATAGCTCCCTCTTTTCTTTTTTGATCTCTACCCTGAAGATGAGAAAGACAAGCAAAGTCCCTAAAAATGGATGTGTAATGAGGTCAGAGGACACCTTAAGAGTTGCCTGAACAGATACAAGGGTGGTTTCGTCTATGACTTCATTCCTACAGAGAGATCGAGGCAATTCACCCAGTTGCACAGCCACTATGTTGTATATTAATCAAGTTGGGTGAAACTGTTAGGTATCAAAAAGAATATTTCAGGGGATTTATACTCATGTTCTTCCCTCTTGATTTCACCAAAATAACCTCCAACTTTTCTCTTTAATGCGGGTCAAGTGATACCACAAGATATCTGGATCCTCAAACCCTCAAATCCACATATGATACGCCTCATGGCTTTGCTTGGGCGAAAAGATGAAAGGGAGCTTCTTGACCGCCTGTCGGGGGAGTGTTTTGCATATGAAGCAAGGGAGTTTCATAGTTAAAAGAGCGGGAACAACGCATGGCATCCATGGTTGACAGCTTTGAGTTCCCAAGGTTGATATTTCTGGATCCATGGAATCATACATTTTTATTCGAATGTTGCTATATTATATAATATCTACTTTGTCTACTTAGTCTACCTTTCATGTTCTCCTTGATCTCTCATTACAGAGCCGTTCCTTCCTGATTAGGCCCTTGACTGAATAATCCTCAGCTCTGGAAATCCCTTGGCATTCTTACTAACCTTTTGTCCAACCCCAACCCACTTTTGCGTCATTGTTCACACGTTCCGTTTTAAAACACTTCTGAATCCCCTCCATTGTTCAGTTGGGCAACTATTGGGCTCCGGGCGTCGTGTCAATTTCGGCTCCAATTTCCTCGAATTTCTACCGAATCTTTTGCCTCAGAGCCAACGGACCAGGTTGGGCATTTCTACATTGCCCGACTCGGATTGTTAAATACTCATCTCCCGAAGCCGACCGGAGAACAGACTGTCACACCTGACTTCAACCGGTCAGGCGTTATCATCATCTGCATCCCTCGAATTTACAGTTAAATATCAAAATGTCGAGTCACTACCGAAACCTGTCTCCCAGCCGAGCCCGACACTCCATGATTGATCCCATGAGAGCGTCAACCGGCATGGTAGAACTCAACTCCTCCTACGACCCTTATGATGCGCCAAGGCGCTATGATTATGTTGACTACCCGTCCGATACTGGATACGCCAGTGCTTTTGGGTACCGCTCAGGGCGACCATCGAAACTCGAAGCCCACCAAATTTCCTCCCATCGAGTCCGTGATCCGACTGCGTCCGCCAAAAAACGCACTGAATACAGCGTCCAACCCCGCAGCAGACACAGAAGCAACACATCAACGGCGGCGGACTACGAGACACCAGTGCGTCTGGCTGTACCTGCCACATCCCGTCAACATCTCTCGCCCTTGCATCACTCAATTCACCGCCGTGACCCGAGCCCTCTTCCTACAGATTCCGGCCATAATATAATCGCTGCTTCTCCTCGACATCTCGCACATCGACGAATCTACAGCACTGACTATGCGAGCGACACGGGCCACATAGACCCACGGAACGATGGCAGACACAGGACTGATCACAGTGCGCATCAACACCGTGTCCATCCTCCGCCTCGCTCACCACGCTATCCAGCGTACGACGGGCTGAGGAAAGGCGACGACATCGATGACTTCGATGCCTACTCATATACCAATGCCCGGGAGCAATTCGACCGGGACTACCCTGTCAAGCCACGCCCTCGCGGGCCGAGATACTCGCTCGATCGGCCACTCAGTAACACTGGAGTGGAAGAAAACCCCCAGTGGACAGCACGGAAAGACCGTCACCATGGCCCACCCCCGACATCCTGGGGCCTTGACAAGCTCGGGCGTGAACGGCCACGAAGCTCAGCGTACGGCAAGGATGACCATCGGGACCCGCACAGATCGAATGATGGATTCCATGATCAAGCGCTAGTCGCCGTCCCTCAAGACTCTGACGCTGAATATCCCTCCCGACATGACGAGCGTCGCCGCCGCCGTGCCGAAAGAGCGCGCCACGCGAACGGTCGGGAGCACCCCTATCCAGAAGACCACCACCCCAAGCCACATGACGTCGGCGCGCTCGCCACGATGGGACTTGGAACAGCGGCCTTAGGAGGCGGATACTCCGACATGTCGGACTTCGAGCACCACCGTCCGTCGCGACGCAAGCACAGACGCTCACACGGTGAGCATGACCGCGATGCCGTTCAGCCCCCATCGCGGGAGCTTGTAGAAGCAGCTCCAGCCGACGAAAGAGCCAAGCAAGCCTACCTGGATCCCGCGGATGCCCGTCGCCACGGTCGATCTCGACGACACTCTAGGCGGCGGACGCACAGCGATGATGCCGACACCTCAGACGAAGACCTACGAAACTACAGGCGTGAACCCGCACGTCGCAGGCACAGCAGCACCGACACCGAAAGCGAACGCGACCGTGACCGTGACCGTGACCGCAGTCGGGACCGCTCACATCACAGACAAGACCGAGACCACTCGCGTGGACACCGCTCTTCTCGCTCCCACCGCATGCTGGAGGATGGTCACGCCATTGACTCGCGACGATCGCCGCCGGCCGACATGGCTAAAGATGACCCTAGAAGACTCATTGCGGTCGAGCCGGCTGCTCCAAAGGAGCCAGAGGCTCCTCCCAAGGGGATCCTCAAGGCACCACGCCAGGCATTCCCAGAGGAGCCTAACCCGGTGAGGGAGGGGGTCGCTCCCCTCAAAGATGCTCATAAGCAAGGGATCCCACCGGGAGCTCGCTGGACGAAGATCGACCGACGACTCGTGAACCCAGAGGCATTGGAAGCGGGCAATGAACGGTTTGAGGAGCGGTCGGATTATGTGATTGTCTTGAGGGTTCTGAGCAAGGAGGAGATTCAACAGTATGCTGTAAAGACACAGGAGATCAGAGGTAAGTCACGCAGCTGTGTATATCCTGGGAAAACATTTGAAGAAGAATGCTCACAACTGGATTGCACAGATATTCGCCACAAGGAACAGCTGCGCGAGAGACGCAAGTCCAGGGATGAGACTCAACGTCACGGCCGCCGGGGCGAGGAGTCTTCCAGCGACGATGAGGATGAGGGGGAGGAAGAGCCCTGGAAGCAGCTCGAAGCAGCCCCTCCACCACCCGCACAGCAGATTTCCTTGCCATCGCGTCCACGCGCGTCGACCAACTCAATGCACGAGGCTCAAAGGCCCAGAATGGGCAATCCGTCTGCTGCGCCGGTATAGGAGCATCCTTCAATGCCTCGTGATTTGGATATTCCCCGCAGGGCCTGGGACTAGCCTCGAGCCCGTTGGAATCACAATGGCGTTCGCGCAGTGCATATGGGCGAGGAAAGCGTCGGTTCTGATGTTGGCTCTAGCAAATGTAACTAATGCACCTATCCTTCTGGGGACGAAGACCATGCGACAGGCCCCTGCAGGCAAAAAGCAAGTACCCGTCCCATTTACGCGCCTACAAGGTCCTCGATACAAACCCACCTCAGACTCAGGTTCAAGTCGTGTGTGTTCCCTCTTCCGGTTTACCCCAATACACCGCCTCCATACCAATCCATGACTGCCTGTTGTATGCACTCCGTACGCACCTGTCATATTGTTTGACAGGATGTCGAAGATCAACAACGCCTACACATGCAGCGCAACACGCCGCTGGATTCTTTCCGACCCAATCAGGCCCCTGCCTCTTGAATTGCGGAACCAAACGATGATCAATCGCTAGGCCACCCGCGCC